TGGTTTGGGCACCAACAAATTAGGTTTCTTTATGCCAGAGGCCGTACTTTTCGCTTTTATACCAGCATGAAAGCAATCTTTTGCATCTTCCAATGCCGTACCTCATAACCTTTGAGACGGCTTTGTGCCATCACTTCTAGAAATGTGAGTATTATGCAGGAAGTCCTCAGATGTAAATTCCTGCATATTATGACCTATTACCTAGGAAATTGCTATGAGTAATGGGAATGGTATACATTTTCCATTTGGAATTCACAGAAGCAGAACCATACAAGTTGTTAAAAAGTGCTTCGCCTCTGTCCGGTTTACTGTGGGCTTTGTTTTAGAAAAAGGCACCAGGTTCGGATTTAGTCCAGCGTAGAAAGGAGAGTAAGATGGATATATGATTAAATATGTTTGGACTTATGATTCAAATAACATTGATCTTTTTGAGTCAACTGGACCCAAATAGATTAGCCTAGTTCATCTTAGCCATAGGGGCTATCTGGTTTGCAGAAAAAATAAATTATAGCAAATGTTGCACGTAATATTTGTTGTAGAAAATTAACTTTGTTTTGCTCCTATTAAATTGTCTACGTCTGCAATCTTTTTCTACAAGTAGCAAGCACATTTATCTTTCTTAATTAGAATATTGCAAAGCAAGCAAGTGAAATATAAATTTGGTTGCAGAGCTTACATGTGCATTTTAAATTCTATGCGACCAGACAGCCTCTTGTTTGATGGGTCGCTCCAATCTACCAATTAGTATCAGAGCCCGTGCTTTAATGGGCCTTTGGATGCATCGTTTTCTTCGAGATTTTGTTGCATGTTTTAAAGTTCAATGCGGAGCTCATGATGCGTTAGATTAGTTCCCGCATGTTGTCACATTTATCTTCTGCATGGCTATGTTTGTCCGCAAAGGTGTTAAGTTGAGAAGTTGCCTTCCCAACTCTGATGCAAGTGATTCAAATACCTCTCTTCTGCCCTTGCAGGAAAAGCTAAATGAAGTCATGGAATTTCTCAGAGTGCCCCGGAGAAAGCTTCGAAGCCGCCATGTGAAGATACACACAAGGCCCTTGTCTCAGATGGTCAAGAACTGGAATGCTGTTCGCAAGGCCCTGAAGGGAAGCCAATTTGAAAGCTTATTAACATCTGACTAATTGTACACAAAAAACAAAAAAAAAAAACTTTTCATTTTTTTTTATCCCTCTTTATCTGCTGGTTTCATTCAATCTCTATGTCCTTCTTTCAAGTGCATTTCATTACTCAGGCGAGGAAAACGCTCGATCATTGAAGGTTTGTACGCTTTCACTCGTAATTGTCAGCATACAACTCGGAGAACCATTTTAGAATTATCTCTACACATTTTCCTCGAGGGATTGATATATTTCTATATTATATGACTAAAATATTCCTCATCATGTCAATTATTATAATTTTAAAGGTAATCTCATAAACTCCTTACATTTGGTCCAATTTGACCAAAATGTCCTTTATTAGTTAATTGAATAATTGTTGTGTTAACTTAAAAAGGATATTTGATCATTTTACCAGTTCATCTAACACCATTAAGGATTTAATGGAAAAAATTAAAAATGTTTTCTGATTTTTTTTTGAACACCCCAAACATAAGAGGGGTCAACTAAAGATTTCTAGAATTTAGAGGGGTTAAATGTTGGGATTGTGTCTTTAATTCTTTGTATAAGTTTACGAGAATTAGATAGGGTTAGAGATCTATCATGATTAGAAAATTGGGTCTCATCATGATTAGGAGTTTGAATCCTATTCTAATTAGGAAGTTAGGTTAGAAGTTAGGAGTTTGATTTCCCTATATATATTCTTCTATTGTTAGAGGAAAAACCAAGCAGAGGAGAGAGAGAGAGCCAATATTCTTGTAATTTAGGGATAGCAGAGTGTTGTGCGCAGCGGAAATTTCGGCAGAGTTTCTGGTGCACAATAAGAGAGAAAGATCGATAAGAATTCTTGTTTCTCAAATGGAATAAGAATCTGAAAGCCTAATATCCCATCAAAATGGGATATTAGCTCTTCCTCTCGTCAGCTCTAGGACTGCGCGTCAAGGGATCCTAAAAACTATTACAATTTCTCGTCAGCTCTAGGACTGCGCGTCAAGGGATCCTAAAAACTATTACAATGGCCACAAACTCAAACAATCAATTTTTACGTGGTTCGGCAAACTGCCTACACAAACTCAAACAATCAATTTTTACGTGGTTCGGCAAACTGCCTACGTCCACGGGGCAAGGAGGGGGGTCTACTAATAGAGGGAAAAAGAATACAAATAGGGTTTACAATCTCTCAAACTAAACCCTCACACAAACTCTCAAATCCCTCACACAATTATCTCTCTCAAAAGGAGCCAAAAGAACCTTTGTTTTTCTTGTTGCACGCAGCCCAAGAAACCTGCCTTTGCACAGCTGCCGAAATACTTTTCCTCTCTGCCTGCGCCCTGTCTTGCACGCTGCCAAAGAAAAACAACCGGCTTCTTTTTCTCCCCTCTGCTTCCGCGTCCAAATCAGCCCCCAGAATTGCACTTTTCACCGCCTCTTGCACACCAACCTAGTGCATGAATTAAAGAGATATATATAGCATAATATTCGGGTGGGCCAGCAATCGGGTTGACCAGGAAAGCAAAGCTTTGCGCCTCCAGCTCGTGGTCGTGGGCCCCGCGAGACCTTCATGAACCTTCACGCGGTTTCCCTGCTCTTCACGTGAATTCGTTCACGTGGGTTCACAATTCTCCACCTCGGCGAAGTTTTTTCAAAACTGAGCCGACACCAACCAAATCAAATGTCTCACTTGTTGTGTCTAGTATACTGTGAAACAATTCACGACAACAGACTCAATCCATAACAAGTCGAGAACCCAAATGAGAATGCAAACACTCTCCAAATGTCAGTATCAACTCACCAAATCGATCTCACCCCATCAAAATCCAAACCCGGCTACATCATAAAGACTACCTACGTATCCTCTTGCCCAAGGAATCAAGCCGAACGTAGTTCACCCAAATGGCCTCCAAATGCCTCAATCCACTAGAAGCAACTCACCAAATCGATCTCACCCCCATCAACATCCAACCCGGCTGCATCATAAGACTGCCTACGTATCCTCTTGCCCAAGGAATCAAGCCGAACGTAGTTCACCCAAATGGCCTCCAAAGGCCTCAATCTACTAGAAGAGTTCGCAACCCTTCTCCATTATCATCAACTCTGCGGCTGATAGCACCTCAAATGGCCTCAAACACCTCCACCTGAGGTGAACTAATGGTCATATCCAAACTGCATCTATCAGCTGCACTCGAGTCAAAACCCAACTCATCATCTACATTCGAATCCAAATGACTTCCACGCTGTGTCACCTCAGCTGGAATCCCAACCAATACAGAATGACCTGGAGTATGTGGGAAAATCCCCACTCAATGTGGAGTAGCATCAATCTCCACCCGCTGCGATACCTCTAAGGTCTGTCCAAAACTCTTCACCTGCTGAGAGTCAATTAGCTCCCTCATCGAAGCCTCAACCAAAGTGACACTACCAGACCTATCTTCCAATGGAGTTTTATCTCCAATCGCAACAGTTGACAACTCTTTAATAGGATGACCCAAATATGTTGAAACCTCTGTCCAGAAACTCTTCTGCAAACCATTGCTCGACCATAAATACCGATCCTCCTCCAGCAAGGCACGGTTCTCTAAATTTGTCACCTTATCTAGTTGCCTCAAGATTTCCTTTCCAACGAAGTGTCTCGAAATGCCGTGAGCTCGGCTCCAATACAGAAATAGGTCCATCTTGTACCTCCCACCAGAATGGAGTACCTTCATCTTTCTGTCTATCACACACTTCTTCAAACTGTTGGATACTACTAGGACTTTATCCAAAGGGGATTTGGTTGCAACCCAAACACGCCTAGAACAGCCACCAACAAAGGAAACCAAACTTTTATTACCTCCCAATGATGCCCCCTTGGAAGGCCCCCAAACATCCACGTGAACTCCTCCAGAACGACCCTTAGCACGGTGAATAGAGGTGCCACACTTCACCTCGGTCTTCTTGCTCACATCAACATGTTCACTGGACTTCAAACTGCAGGTCTTTGCACCCTCTTTCAATCTATGCGAGGAATCAATATTGGAATGGTCAAGCCCCAAATGCCGCAGTCTAGTCGAATCAACAGAAGTTGTCAGCTCTCCACCTGTCATTATACCTCCAGTCAAGTAATACAGGTTATTTCTCCTGACGCCCTTCGTCAAAATACGAGAGTCTCTCGCAATCTCGAGAACCATGTCCTCAACACGAACCTTCAGACCCTCTCCAACCAAAGCTCCAATCGAGATCAAGTTCTTCCTCAAAGAAGGAACATATCTCACATTATTTATCTCCCTAACAGTCCTGTCAAATATTTTTATGCGAATTCTTCCTATCCCAAGGATCTGACATGCACGGTTATCAGCCATGTACACCACACCACTATCCACCAACTTCTCAAAACTGGAGAACCATTCTCTTCTAGGGCACACATGATAGGTCGCACCACTATCCAACATCCATTCAGATTCCTCCGAATAGCTATATGTAGGACCGATAGAAAGCGAATAAATAGAAGAGTCAGAAATATTACCATCTGATACGATGTTTGCTTCTGATGATGGTTGCTTCCCTTTTCCCTTCTGCTTATTCTTCATCCATTCGTCGAGCTTTGGACAGTCTTTCTTCCAATGACCAGTTTTCTTGCACCAAGCACACTGATCTTTTCCTACTCTAGACTGTGACTTCCAATTCTTTCGGTTCGGATTCTTCCCTCTTGCGACCAACGCCTCCGCTACCGACTCAGTCGAATTCTCCTTATCCTTCTTTCGAAGCTGATAATTCACCAATGCAGCAGTGACCTCACTATACGAAAGTGATGCCTTCCTATTAATCAGAGTAAGAACGAAGGTCTCATATTCCTCGTCGGGCAAGGAACTCAACAACAGCAACGCCTTTTCCTCATCTTCAATCATGACATCCACATTCGTCAAATCCGCAATAAGCTTAGTGTAGTGGTTCATGTGATCTCTAATGGAGGTTCCCTTCTTCAATTGGAAACGATAAAGTCTCCTCTTCAAATGCAAGCGGTTCTCAACACTCTTTGTCAGATACTTGCTTTCGAGAATCTCCCAAATCTTCTTTGCAGAAGTCTCATTCATCACATCATATTTTAGATCTTGAGTCAAACAAGATCTAATCACACCACATGCCGTTCGATTCATCTTCTTCCAAACCTTCTCTTCAATCTCATCTGGCTTGCCATCTAACTCCAAAGTATCCTCCAAATTCCGCGCGTTCAGCGCATCCAAAACCTCGCATCTGCATAATCCAAAATTGTTTGTGCCATTAAACTTCTCCACATCTATCTTCATAGAGTGGATATTCAAACTCTGAATGGTCTTCGCGCCAGAAGCACCACCCTCGACACCCGAAGCACCTTCTTTCCCCGACATCTTACGCACCAACGAACCAAAGTGGGATATTAGCTCTTCCTCTCGTCAGCTCTAGGACTGCGCGTCGAGGGATCCTAAAAACTATTACAATGGCCACAAACTCAAACAATCAATTTTTACGTGGTTCGGCAAACTGCCTACGTCCACGGGGCAAGGAGGGGGGTCTACTAATAGAGGGAAAAAGAATACAAATAGGGTTTACAATCTCTCAAACTAAACCCTCACACAAACTCTCAAATCCCTCACACAATTATCTCTCTCAAAAGGAGCCAAAAGAACCTCTGTTTTTCTTGTTGCACGCAGCCCAAGAAACCTGCCTTTGCACAGCTGCCGAAATACTTTTCCTCTCTGCCTGCGCCTTGTCTTGCACGCTGCCAAAGAAAAACAACCGGCTTCTTTTTCTCCCCTCTGCTTCCGCGTCCAAATCAGCCCCCAGAATTGCACTTTTCACTGCCTCTTGCACACCAACCTAGGGCATGAATTAAAGAGATATATATAGCATAATATTCGGGTGGGCCAGCAATCGGGTTGACCAGGAAAGCAAAGCTTTGCACCTCCAGCTCGTGGTCGTGGGCCCCGCGAGACCTTCATGAACCTTCACGCGGTTTCCCTGCTCTTCACGTGAATTCGTTCACGTGGGTTCACACAGAGGGCGTAACCTGATTCAAGAATATTGTGCGAGAGGCGAGAGTTTCGTAGTCTTTGTCCGTGCAAAAGATTACAATATTAGGAGAGG